TGTTTGATATCTTAACCTTCAGCTCATTTTTTCTTGAGCGATGGTGTGAACTTTACACTTTGTCAGCTGTTACGATGCACATAAGCTCTATAAATAGATACATACAAATAGTGAGGTTTAAGCAGAGAAAATGAGGGGTTGTGGGATAAACATCTGACCTAGTACGACTTTAAAAATGAAGACAGCTCATTAGTTAACAGCAGCATTTGACATACTTGCAACAGAACAGTGCTGGGAAGAATGTCGCCCGACTGCAGCAGCACCGGTCGGCCTGCGTGAGGTCAGCGGAGTGAAGACAGCTCATCACTGCTGCCGCCTCTCTAACAGCATCACTCACAGGCCACGATGGCTGTTATCTGTCTGAGCCGTCAGAGACGAGGTCTGAACACATCCTTATCTGTCCTCCCCTCTGCCACACTGGCTCCTGCAGCTAGACTGCTGGCTGTTTGTTTTAGCCAGATTCCTCGCCGCAGAACGCTCTTGAGTCCAGACATTGTGGCAGATGAATCAGCAGAGGCGCTACCACCCGCAGAGATGAGTCACTTCGTCGTACCTTGTGAAGTTAAAATGCAAAGGATGGCAAATGAGAGTAGTGGGTTGTTTTTTGGTGTTGGAGGTGAGCTAGCGTGCTCATGCTGCAGTGATTGGGGAGGGGTGCACTGAGGGGAGGTTAATAGATCTGCACATTCTCAATGAAGCAACAGGCGATCCCCACAGTGTCTCGTATTAAATATTAAGACAAATTGTTCTGTTCAGTCACCACCACAGCCCATCAGTTTCTGCCATTTACGCAGGCCTGGCTACTTTCAAATATCCAGCCTATTCCAATGATGGAAGAGCTGGACAGCCAGGTCCACTGTGTGTCAGCCTACTTAGGCATTTTGGAAAGTTATCTGCATCCGTTCACCTCATCTGTCGACTGCCGGTGAGCTGTGGAGGATCTGACTACTTCCAAAAAAAACCTTATTTTCTGCATTAATCCCAAAGAGAACCTTGAGTTGGCAAAGTCCAGCCTGCACTTAGTTTGTTCTTGCGTCTTCTTTTTTCTGTCAACTTTTTAAAAAAAAACTTTTTAATTTGGGCTGAGTGAGCAGCACTTTATGAATCTTCCCTGTTTTGACCTTTGGTGTTGGATCAGGAAAACCCAACATTAAGCTTTGAGTTGTATTGAAGAAGACAGATTGTGAAAACCTGAAGTGGACTCGTTCGGTTATATTACCACCTTTGTTGACTCAAATGGACGTGACTGGCTTTAGAAACAGTTTTGTTTCTTTTCTTTATTTATTAGAGCAGCATCTTTTTTTTTTACGCCTGACGGTATTTGACAGCTATATGGAGCATAATAATATTATATGTTACCTACACGTAGAAACCAACTAAATGGACCGCTCTAAGTAATAAACCCAAAATCAATATTTTATCATGTGTTAACGTAATTCGAGCTCTATCTCGGATGTAGCCCAAGGCACGAGACTGATTTCGTGCAGATGGGTCACATGTATTCTATGTCCAGTAATTCATTTACTTGGTGGGACTTTGCACAGTTTAGTAAAAGCTAATCGCCTGTAAGGTTTGACTCTTCACTCAAAAGTCACCTGGTGACGTTGTCTCATCCATTATAAGGCATGAAGGAGTTATTTTTGTGGGAAACACTTCCAAATATATAACTCTGAAACACAGAGATGAGCTTTTAGGTTGTTGGCCTGTCTCCACCGGCTTCCTGTCTGTTTCAAGATTCACTGTAAGATATTATTGCAATAAGGGTTATGAGGGTTGGTGTCTCATAATTTAGCAGAGATTGTGCCATATTTGAGGTTCCCCAATCAGATGTTCTTAGATGTTAAAAGATGTGGACTTTGTGTCCTCTAGTTTTGTATTAGAGGCAATCAATCCTTTGCAGAAGCTGCTCCTAATCTTGGAAACACTTTGCTTTTTATATAAGAAATGATGAGACTTCAAAAACTTCTAAGTCACTACTTAAGATCAACCTCTTTGATGTTCCATCACAGTTGAGCTTGACATCCTGACTTCACCTTTATTGTGTTGTAAGTTTAATTTTTCTTTGTTTTATTGTGTTTTTGTTTTCTTTTTGTCCCTGTTTTTTTTTTTTTTTTTACATCATATCAGTTGCTATTTATAACCGTACAGCACATTTGTTCAACTCCTGTTTTAAATGTGCTTTATAAATGAATTCAACTGGACTTTTAGGGGTTTACACAATGACCGAAGTGGAAAATCTCAAGCAACAGACCAGCTTATTCCCTTTAAGTCTTCAAAAGTGACGTTTAAAATTTTTAGCAGAGCACGCGTCTTTGTGGTTTGTGCCGATGTTGACGGTTACCGCCGACTCTGGCTGCAATTTTCAGTCACCAAACGTCTAGAACCACTTTTTTAAAAAGTGCAGATTTTTGGTAATCTCAGGATCACATCTGCCTCACAATGAAGCTGTTCTGTTGGTTTGATCAGACTGTGACACACATCAGGGACAGTTTATAAGTGAATAAGTTTGTCTGAAAGCCAGCAGCTCCAAATTTGAGGTCTTTGTGGGCAGGAAGCGAAAGCACCACAAGATCTTGAAACTATGGGATGAGTTGCTGTGATGCTGAATTGAGCCTTAAGGCAGAGTTTTCTAAGTTCCAGCTGTCACGTATGCTGACATCTTCCACGTAGACTGTTGATGCAAATGGGGGAAGTTTTCTTTTCACAGGGGGTCTAGACGGGGAAATTTGGATTTTAGTCTGGGAGCATCTGATCAGATTTCCTCCTGGGTGCCTCCATGTAGAGTCCAAGAAGTAGAAACACCAGGAAGACCGACATCGAACTGGGGGATGAAACTTCAAATCAAGCCTGGAAAAACTTGCACAAGGAAGATCTGAATGGTGTGAATGGACAAAGCTGTCCTGCTATAATTATGGGAGGAAAATTGGACAACAAGAATTTTATCTAGAAATTGAATATATCTTTTTGGAATATAAAAGACTATTGGCCTATACCAGTCCTTTGTGTGGGCGGAACTTATCCAACTACAAAACACCTTCATGTGATGCCAGAGGATAATGCAAAGCTTCAGAAGTCTGAATATTTCCTACGACCAAATGATAACCTCTTTCAAGCTGTGGATGCTGCTGAGGTGTCTCTCCCCCCCCCTGCCTCCACTACTAGACAAGTCAAGGCCACACAAGAAAATGTCTTTAGCGCACCAGGGAAGTGAGAGAAACCACACCGCTGAGGAGGAGCAGGAGGGGGAGGAAGGACTTAACCGGAGTGTGTTAATTTGTATCTGGAGTTGTGATGTCTGAGGGGAGGGCCGGATTAGAAAAGCGGTGGTCCGTAGAGAGACGCTGGGAGTCGGATTTCAGCTTCGCGAGGGCCCCTTGAGTCCCGACGCACTGAAGCTGCCTTTGTTTGACTGAGAACCAGAGAGAGAGTGAGTGAGCGAGCGAGCTAGAGAGAGAGAAAGGGAGAGCTAAAGGAGGAGGAGAGTTAGAGGTTTTTATTTTGGACTGAGTGAGAGAGAGAGGCAGAGTGGGCTCCATCTCTCTCTCTCTCTCTCTCTCTCTCTGTGCTATCACCGCCACATATGAACAGGGCAACTTTAGTGTAAAGCTCCTCATCACCCAAGATGACTTCACGGTAAATGAAACACACGTTGTTTTCCATAAACAAGTTGTTCTAAGTGAACTTCTGGCTGCTTTTCTTACTTATTTTTCCTGTTTTTTTTTTTTGTGCAGCATTCCTCCCTGGTCCTTTGGATTATTTCTACTTGCCCTCTGGTTGCGCTGCCAATGCTCCTCTGCCTATCAGCTGCTGGACGGTATGTGCATTCTGTTGTTTTTTTTTGTTTTTTTTGTTTCCCCTGCTGTTGGTTAACTTTCTGCTGGCTCAGGAAGTTTTCATCCGCTGAATATGAATGATGAAACTGTTGCACTGCAGCCCTGGAATAAGTGCTACATTGAGGCACAGCGTGGTACTAGAAGAGTAAATATTACTGTTATGAATATTGTAGGGATTATTTAAAGTCTGTGTGGCTGTTATCCTGCCAGTTGTGTCCCTTTTATTGAACTGCAAATCATCTCTTTGCTCTTTACTCACGTGTAGGTGTTAATTAGAAGTGTCTATATAGCAAATACCTTGCTTGAGGGGATTTGAGCCTGTGTTTTGAACCTAAAAATATGCCTCTATTTGACAAGACCAGTGCATTCCAGGGGATATTGGGTTGGACCGGGTCCAGTGTGACTGTACATAACATTGTTTATAATGGCAATGGGGAGGTATCAGTGTGGACAGTGAAACATGGCGCTTCCCAGACTCTTTGGAAAGTTCACAAACCACTGCTTTTAAATTAATGTCATGACATCAGAGTGCATGAGGGAGAAGACTGCAGGCTTCTGTGCTGTATGATGGTTTCAATTATTTCTATCTGATTCCTATGCTGTCGCCCAGTAGTGCTTTGCTGTTTCTGCAGACTGTTTTCACAGCTTAACTCCTGTTTTTTTTTCTTCTTTTCCGTCTGGTGATTAATAGATCAATCAGGACACTTCAACGTGTTCCCAATTAGTGCTGAAAGAGCTGCAGATTTTCTTTTCCGTTGGAAGCAGGCGAAACCTCACATTGACAGACCGTCTTAGCAATCAGTAGCACTGCATAATTAAAGGTACAGAAGATGATGTAATGCCGAGCATTGGAGGGTGCTTGTCAGAGATGAAGGTCAATTACGTCTGAGAGCTTCATTTTATTAGTTTTCATGCCGGTCCTTGAGACAGACGGGCCAATATGCCATCGCTGCATTCGTCAGTGTGCTGGAATCCAGATTGGCATTTGAAGTTATGTGTGCGGATATCTTGACCTATGATCACCACAGAGACCTCCGTGTCACAAAAGCAGCATTGTCCAGGCCCGGCCAAATGATTACAGGGTCTCTTTGGCTAATGTGGCCCCACGGAGCTTAATTGTCCATCTGATATTTCAAATTAAGCACCAATTTGGCTGCTCTGAAAAGTGTATCCACTTTCAGTGAAACCCAAATGATGAGATAAGTGGAATATGATCTTGGGGGAGTTATTGAGACAAGTTTGAAATGTGGGGAAAAGAAAATGTGCATCCTTGTAGAAGTTGACAGTGGATGTTTGTGAGGAGGTGGGTGGAACCGCATTGATGTCTAAAGTTTTTCAAAGTGTGATTTCATGGTCTAGTTTCCTCTACTGTAGATCCTGCAGATGTTGGCTCAGCCAGAGGCTCCATTCTCAGGCTGTTTGTCCGTTTGCCATATTTATAATCCTCTGCCATGATTCACTTTTTCAAGAGGAGGGGGGGAAAAATAAAAGAAGTGTGTGTGTGTGTGTGCACGCTCATGCTGGCTCACTTACAGCAGAGAGCACCAGGGACAAATATTTCCAAGCTGCACGCTGTAAATATTCTTAAAAACAGAGCTGTCGCCGTGGCAACATTCGCGTTTCTGTGCACGATTTGTAGAAATAAAGCTGATATAATCCTTTTTCTTAATGTGAAGTAGTGCACACTGCTGCTTCTTCTTCTTCTCCTCCCAGCTGAGTCTGTTCGCAGTGTGCCCTCATGTTTTTAGGTGGATGCAGAGAGCTGGCAGGACAAATGAAATTCTAGGACACAGAACTTTATCACTTTTAAGTTGAACACAAAAATGAAACTCTGTGCAGCAACCTTTTTTTAATTAGCTACTAAACAGGCACATTGGTCTCTTTATGTAACTGGAAATTAATGTATAAATGAACAAATTAATGAGACAAATGATTAATTGTGTGAATTCAGATACATACAGACGGAAATATAAGAATGAACAATTTAATGAATGTGTATGGAAATGAATGGATGGATGGATGAATTATGGCGAAAGATCCAAAGCTCCATAAACAAGTAAATAAACCCACAAACAACAATAAAATGACTTTGGCCCGAGTTCAGAAAGATCCAGACATGGGTTGATCTTTAGTCTTGGTTTCCATATAGAATCATAAAAGTATGTCCTCGGGGAGTTTGCTGCTTTGAATCTTCACTAATGAGTCGCATGTTAACAAATGCAGCACATAGCAGCATCACACATGTGCACTTGCACATGCTTGGCTACACACCACCAACAGAACACACACATGCAAAACCTGAGTCTCATTCCTGATGTTCTCCATCTGCTGGCAATTATTTGCAAATGATAATGTTTTTAATCATCTACCAAAACAGTCAGGACACAGTGGGGCTATTAGGGGGTAATGAATACGGTGACGTGGCTGATGATGTGAGTTTTGGAGAATTCTGCTACGTTGATGATGACATTGTGCAGGACGCTGAGGATGATGATGGTGGTGGTGGTGATGAATATGAAAATTATGATGATGGTAATTACAAGATCATTAGACAGGATCACTGAAGGGTGATGTTATTCCAACACAGGTGGTCACAGTTACTAGATGTTGCATGTTAGAACTCATTATGCTTGATATGACTTAAAATGAACAAAGTGTTAATTAAATTTCAACTTTTTTTTTGCTATGTTTACCTAAAATTATATAAAACCCAATTAATAACAGCAGTTTTTTTGTTATTTTAAGCCTGATTATTTGTATTATAGCAACGTTTAGTCGTATTTATTGATAGTTTAATTGTTTTTACACATGTAAATATCCTTCATTTGCATCAAAAAGACAAAAAAATACACATAATCCCATTCAAAAATTAAAATTAGAAACTTTTAATGATGGAAAATCCCTGCACTTTTATTGGATGGTTGGTTTCCTTTTTTCTTTGGTGGCCCAGCTGCCAGATTATTACTTTCTTTGTTGTTACTTCTTTTTAATGAAGTGTATATTACCAACAGAAAACCATAAACGGGGTGGGATGTGACTCTAACTGATGTCTACATGACCCACATTCGACTTACAGATGAATCTGTTTTAAATCAGAACATTTTGAGTCATAGATGGCTCGTTCATCCCCAAACAAAACAGATAGGATTTGAAAGAATCTAATCCCCACTCCAGTTTTGTTTGACTGTAAAGTTAAACAGGTCTTTTGTAAAAGACGCAACCTGTTCTTATATCTGATTTTGTGAAGGTCAAAAGAGTATGTCTGCTCTTTGTTTCCCTTTACTTTCCCCCCCACTGTTATGGTGAACTTGCATACAGTCATTCTGGAATGAAACCAATAAAGGGGAGCCCCATCTATTCTACACTTCAATCTTTTTACCAGTTTTGCACTTAAGCACATGTGAAAAGTTTTATAAAACCTTGTGAAGCTGAAAGCCAGCTGCACAATGTCCGATAAATCACCTGCAGCCATGTCACGCAACTCAGCTTCAGGTGAAGGCTTCAAGTATGATGGAAACAATAGAAATGGAAACAAATCTGGGGTTGTGAAGTTTGACAGAAATGAGATTCCTCTTTAACTCCTTATTTCTGCTTGTGTTAGTGACTTGAGGTCATATATTGGTAAATGCTAAGTTTTCAAACAGTTTATTGGTCTTTTTCTAACTTTTTTGAAGCTCTTTGATTGAAATTCAAAGGGACTGGCTTGGCTACTGCCGTGACCACACTTTATCTGAAAGTTTAAAAACACTTCTGGTTCCAAATTCTGGGAACTATTAAGCAGAGAGTGTTGGGTTTTTTTTTTTGCAGGACAAAGACGGTCTATATCTTGTGCCAAAACAAAAGCTGTAATGTACATTCTAGTGTAACTGAAAGAGACAACAGAAGCAAACACTGCTAGCTGGCTTTCCAACCTTTTCCTCAGACTTTAAAGTATAAATTCACCATAAAATCAGCTTTATATGAGTTGCTGATGAACATTATTGCAAGAAACACCTGCAGATTAGCTTCTCACGTAACAGGTTTGTCAACAGATGTGAGTTTAATGAAGCGCTGCGTGAATTCTTACACATCCATTTGGTCCTAACGAGACTCTGGATGTGCGTCAGCTTGATGTAGGTCATCTGGACCGGGTAACATATCAGCTTTTGATTAAAATTGTAATTTCAACTGTAGCGCAGTACGATCCCCAGCTCTGTCCAACAATGATTTCATGATTGTGCAAGAAAAAAGTAAAAAACAACACTGCAGACTTTTAAAGGCTGTGACATTTTCCTATAAATGAATGACCACGCACAAGATGATGTAATACACAAGTGGGTCAACTTACATCCAGTTTATGTACTTTTTCTACTCAAGCACATGATCCTGAGCAGGTATTTTGTGGTAAAACATCACCAAAGCTGCAACCAGATTAAAAAAACAACCCGGCGAGTTCATCTTGACTACCAGCAAATGTTACACAAGTGACCAGATGTTACGTTGACCACATCGATGTGTGTTTATACTCTCCATGTCAAATGTACAAGTGGTCTGTATGAAAATTACTGTCTCTGCCACATTATGAGGTAATGATATGATCGATGTTTACATCTGAGACACTCAACAGATCCTCACGTTAAAACTAATTAAGTGTTGGACACAAAACCATAACAAAAAAATGAATTGACGCAGTTATCTTGTGAAGTTTTTTGGCTTGAGAGCAATTTTCGCAATGCACTTTAGGGGTTTTTAGTTGATTTGGGGTCATACGTGCAGAATAAAGAATGATCTTTCTAATATAATCATCCCATTTTATGCATCAGAATTAAAGACAAATATTCAATTATCTGTACTGATTTGAAACAAAAACAGAAGTTCCATGCCCCCAGAGTGTACAGCTGGTCCCTAAAGGAATACTTCCAGATTTAGGAAATATGCTTATTAACTTTTGACAAGAGTCAGATGAGAAGACGGATGCCTTGTGTTGAGTGCATATGGAAAC